ATGTCCTCAGTCAATCTCCTCAGAGGGTGCGCAATCTCACCCCCCCCTCCCAAGGAACCTGAAACACACTAATGAGCTATGCATTCACTTAATTAAGCCATGGCACCATGCATTACATCTATGTTGTGCACCCCTTAAAAGAGGTAGTGAAAGGCCATTATAATCCCTCAAAAGATCACATGTACAGATATAGTTTGCATTCAAGGCTCAAGTCATAAAATAAGATAAGACAATCCTTTTTTAGTCCTGCAGCGGGGAAATTTACAGGAGTACGGCAGCATAGTGGATAGTGCAAACAAGAGACATGGTAAAACAAGATCAAATATTTACAGTCAACTTGTTAATTACAGTTCAGTGAACATCGTATTGTCTAAGGAGGCCGCTTCAAACTATTTGAGCTACTTTTACGGTCTTCAGTTTTGAAACTGATGTTGCGTAAACATTTAGTCCAAGCACTCTGTGGCTGTTGTAGCCTACTGTGAGTGCATGGATGTCATTGATAGCAGCCGTCACGACTGACTGTTTTTGCGTTTTTCAGGGGATGTGATCTACTACACCTATAAGGTCCCTGAGGGAGAGAGACATGACAGTGCTGTGAAGAGAAATAGAGAGGCTCTGGCTGCTGAGATCAAGCTGTGGGAGGGATACCTGGAGAAGGTAAACCTGAACCATGTATCCTCTGTGGTGGAAAAAACTATTTAATAATACAGAGTTTGTCCTATGATACTGAAATATTGAGAAAAGAAGCTTGTCTTTAAAGTATTAATTCTCTGCGCAGAGAAGGTTCAATCGTCATACAGAATGCAATGCGGTCTGAAGGAGGAAGAACCCAGAGTGTTGGTTGTGTACGACTTATAAAGGCCTTGAGCACATGGTGGGGCAGGAGGAGTTCATTATTAAGCCATTTGGACAACAGTGCCCATTCTTTGATTGACCAACGAAAGGTTCAATGTCTCCACCCCCATTCAGCTCTTATCTAAGCTGACAATATATCCTTGATTCAGCCCCACACACACATATACACAATACTACTCAACTTGAGTGGACCCTCACTGACCATGTCTGACATTGATTAACTTTGTTAATACAACAAGGGCCAAAACACTGAGTGGCCAGACAATAAAAACAGATAGATAAGTCATAGTGGAATTTAGTCATCACACCTCCAATGAAGGTCCTTTAGACCAAAAGCTAAAAATACAGTGTTGCACTGTTAAGTGTGCGATATCTTGTACCAGTTTTAGCTGTTTTTGATGTTTCTAGAACCTTATTTAAGATAAAGCCAGGTGACGTGGTGGTTATCCTGCATATACCTGAAGATTATAAAATACTCAACTTCATTTTCAGACACATGAGTCCACATAAAGAGAAAATAAATAACTACAATATGAGGACACCAAGACACAGGTATAATCATTGCAGTTCAAAAGTCACTCGTGGTTAAAAAAAAGCAACATTTGTTCCAAAGATTTTAACTAACGCAACACACGCTCAGTGTTTGTTGAACTAAAAAGGCAATTACATGTTTGTTGTACAGAATGCTGTTCTGTAAGAGCAGCAGCATTTTTGGAGATGCCCTCATTCGCTTTTGTTCTGATAGTTTGATTAGAAGGCTGATACCAGTTCACGTCTGTATAGTAAATATAAAGTTACCACCAGAAGATGGTTAGCTTAGCTTCTGACAAACATGGGTAAACTGCTACCGTGGCTCTTTCCAGGTAAGAAAGTTCACCTACTGCCACCTAATGCTGTAAGTCCCACTTGTTCAACAGGTCCAATAATGTTTCTTTAGCTGCTGTATGGCCATCTATCATGGCTAACATTCATGTTAATTGTAATTGTTAATAGGTATAGAGGCAAATGAATACAGCTGTCTTGGGTGTCAAATCTGCCCACCAGCACATGGATGTGGCCTAACTCTTTGTATCTGTCTTCTAGGGATCAGGCTCTTTCATGGCAGGAAAGACCTTTTCACTGGCTGATGTGGTTGTTTATCCAAGCATCGCTTCTCTCTTCCATTTTCAGTACGTTGATTAAATCACTAAAAATGTCTTTAAGATTGACAAAATAATAGCAGTGATTACAAAGCAGCAATAAATTTGTATTTGAAAGTTCACATCAACTTTTCTCCTTTCTTTAGGTTATGTGAAGAGCGT